AAGGTCCATTGACAACTAAAAAATATTTAAAAAAAAATAGATACCAGAGAGGAGAGAGGCTAAGTTAGTAAAGATGCCAGCACCATTGCTTGGAAAAAACAAGTCCTTCATTTTGACACTTTTAATTGATAGTTGCTGTCTTCTTTAAGTATCATTAGTGTAAAAAGAAAATCAGTTTTTCTTCTGGGAAGTTATGTCACAAGGCTGTACATTTCACCAAGTATCCTATGATATAATTGATATGGCTGCTAATGAGTCCAAGGCCATGGGAATGGGATGGATTAGACCTATTTATGTACTATAGTTCTAGGACCAGGATTAGCATCCTATCAGATAGTGCTGTGAGAGGCTGAGCTAGGTATCACAAAGGAAAACTAGGACTGTAACCAGGTCTACTGTGAATGTTGTGTAGATTGCATGGCTCAGCTCCAAAGGTCACAAATCACTTTGCAATGTATCAGGCATCCTTTGTGTACTTTACAACTTGTGCAAATGTATACAGTGACACTAGTTGTGACTTGGAGAAGGAATAATAAGGGCTTGAGAGGCAAAATACAAGTGTCCCCTATTCTAATTACCCATGTTTGCTTATCTGTTTCCAAAAGTCCTAAGAGGGTTCTTATGATCCTTACTCCTTTTTATTTCTCTGCTGTATATTTCTTGTCTCTGTAACAGTAGCTTTCAACTCTTTTTTCCCCCTTGCTATGGCACATAACAATTTTCATATAAATTTGTACTTAGGATACATGCAATCATGAAGTGTGTTCAGGAACTCTACCCCTTTATCACTCATTTAAGAAAGCACATCTTTGGACTTCTGATTATCATGGGGAGTACAGTGGTCATGGTGAAGGGTGAGTCCCCCACTTCCCCATAGCAAGACAAGTAAAGTGGAAGATGCTTAGAGGATCACTTGTAGACTGTGTTATGGAGGGGCCTGCAAGAAAGAGTGATTGGCATTTCAGTATCCTAAATAATGATATTTATTTAGTATTAATAAGCTTAAGCAGCACACCTGACCTACTGCCTGTACCTGTCTACACAAGAGAAGAGCTAATGGGAGAGAGATGTCTAGGCAGAGACAGGCTGTGGTGGAGAAGCCTGCATTGCCCTGTATCAGGACAAGGGTGCAAGCATTTCCCAAGGGTTGTAGGGAGACAGCCTGCAGAAAGCAGCTATTTATTCAAGAGAGCCACCCCCTGACTAAAGATTCCCTGATACCAAGAGTCTGTGGGATCCATTAGTGCTGTGGGAGATGGGGGCAGATGTGAAAGAAGTAAAGCCAAAACCAGACTTCCCAAAACTGGGAAAAGAGTTATGACAGCCCCACCAGGCCCTCCAAAGAAACCACACAGTAGTCTCAGGAGGGAAAGGGCAATTGGGCACCTTCCACACAGAAGATACCTATGGTGGTCATGCTGGTGAGCTGCCCAGATCACTATTTATAAAAGAACTCCTTAGCTGTGGGGAGTACAGTGAGCTGTGACAAGCCTTCTTGTACAGCTCCTCAGAATGCTTTTCTTGGGTAGTCCTCAGTCAGTGTCAGAACACAGCAGGACATGATGGCCTGGCATCTCAGCCCCAGGCAAGATTTCTGTAATGTGCAGTCTTTGCTCCACAGCTGCCCATGGGTTGGCTAAGACATTGTCAGATCTGCATCATATGCTGAGGTTCTCCCTGCTACATTTTTATTCTCTCATCCTTTATTGTTTGCAAGTATTATGCCTAAGCAAACTTCTTGACTCTTTTTTTTTAATATTTATTCTTTAGTTACAGGTGGACACAATGTCTTTATGTTACATTTATGTGGTGCTGAGGATCGAACCCAGTACCCCATGCATGCTAGGCGACCAGTACCTCACGCATGCTAGGCGAGCGCCCTACCTCTGAGCCACAACTCCAGTCCCCTTGACTCTTAACTCCATCTCAGCATCTGCTTCTTGGAGGACTTGAATTGGCAGAACATCCTTGGCCAGGTAATATTTACCAGAGAAATGAAGGCAACCTAAGTCCATACTTGAGTAGATAAAGGTAACTACCAATCCTCTTCTTTCACCTCTCAGTAGAGATCAGCAACTATACAAAGCCTAGAAGAGAGAGGGGAGAACTTGAAATTGGTAATGAAATAGATTTATTCTAAGGAGAGTAGAGAGCAGTTTTTGAATTACAAATTCCAAAGGTATAAAAAGGACACAATTTCCAGAGGGCAAGAAAAAATACATAGTCAAGTAATATAGTTCAAACATACTGGGTGGGGTTGAGCAATAAAGGATTTATGGTCATAAGTGAATAAATGAATTGAACAACTAGAGATTTCTTGGCTCTTTAGTTTTAATCACACCCTAACATTACAAAAAACTTATTTCAAATCAACAGCCAATAAAATGCTTAATGCTAAAATACTGAAAACATTTCATTAAAATCAGGAGTGCAACAAAATGTCTACTGACTCCATTGTTATATATGACATTATTCTGGAAGTTCTTACCAATGCAAAGATACATAAAACAGAAATATGATCAGTTAATAAATTATGACATTCATAAATGAAATATTTTATACACGCTAACATGATGTTTGCAAGAATTTTGAAGGACATGATAAATTTTAATATTATCATAAATGAAAATGTAGGATACAAAACTGTTTGTGGTCAAAGTTATCATCATCATAATGGGACAAATTGCTATCATGTGCTTCCCAGACACATACACTGAGAAGAATGAATTATTTCTATGGTGTTTTTGAAAAAAAAAAAAAGATTGGGCTGGGGATGTGGCTCAAACGGTAGCCCGCTCACCTGGCATGCGTGCGGCCCAGGTTCGATCCTCAGCACCACATACAGACAAAGATGTTGTGTCCGCCGAAAACTAAAAAATAAATATTAAAATTCTCTCTCTTTCTCACTCTCTCTCACTCTTTCTTTAAAAAAAAAGAAAGAAAAAGATAACTTGAAAGTCATTAGAAAATATTAGACAATTCCAAATTAAGGGACATTCTGCAAAATAAGTGGCCTTTATTCTTCAAATAGGTCAATATTAAGAAATACTTGCTGGGTGGGGTGGTGCACACCTGTAGTCCCAGGGTTTTGGGAAGCTGAAGCAGGAGGATTGCTTGAGCCCAGGAGGAGTTGGAGATCCAGCTGGGCAACATATTAAGACCATAAAACCCCCATCTCAAAAACAATCACTAAGAAAGACTGAAAATTAAAAAGATACAACTAAATATGAAGCATAACCAAGGATTTTCTTTTGTTAAAAAGGACATTGTTTCGAGAATTAGTGAAATGTGGCAAAAATTATATAATAGTCTTGTATCAATATTAATCTCCTGATTTTGATCATTGTACTGGGGTTAATGCAAAACAATTTCTTCTTTTTAGGAAATACAGAATGAAGGGTTGAAGAGATGTAAAGGGGCATGCATCATCATATATCAAGGTACTCTAAAAAGGTTCACAGAGAGAGCAGAAGGAAAAAGCAAGTGTGACCGAATGTTAATATTCGGGAAATCTGGGTGAAGGGTAGAACAGAGTTGTTTGTACTATTTTGCAACTTCTCTATAAGTCTAACATTATATAACAAACACTTAAGGATAAAAATTCCAGCATGATATTTGTTTAAATGTATATTACAAATGTGAAAGACTGGGAAGAAACATACCAGACTGCTATTTGTTTTGTTTATTGTGGTGCTGGGAATCAAACCCAGGACTTGTCCTTGCTAGACAACACTCTGCCACACCCCAGCTCCTCTTTCCTTTTTCATTGTTTATATCAATATAATGGTTAAAGAATCTTTTGTTTTCATCTAAAACTGACTTGCAAATGATTACCCATTTGCCAGTATCAATCATATAAGTAAAATGAACAATGAAGAGTTCTGATTTTATTTATTGGTACTGGGGATTGAACTCAGGTATGCTTTTCCACTGAGTTACATTCCCCCACTCCACCCCTCTTTTTTTTGATACAGGGTCTTGCCAAGTTGCTGAGGCTGACCTTGAACTTGCAATCCTCCTGCCTCAGCTTCCTGAACTGCTGGAATTACAGCATGCACCATCAAGCTGACTAAGAGTTCTGATTTTAACTCCTCTCATGCATAGGAGAAAAAGCTAGATTTATAGATTATTAATTTTATATTTGGTTATACAAGAGCAACCTAAGTATTTTATATGTAATATATTGTTTCAGTGTAATATATGCTTTTAAATGAAGGAAAGTACTGGATTACTAAGAACTATGAAATTTATGATTCTTTTTATATCAGACTTTTTATAGAGAAATATACTATGAAGGTTGCCTAGAACCYGATTCCACAAAATCTAGGTTATAGAATTGCTATCTGTAAATCAACACTTTGATCTTTATGTGAATGCATTCCACCATAAGCCTTGTAATAAATTTAAAACTATGCAGGTTTTATATTCTTTTCAATAGAACTATAAAATCCTAGTGCAGATGTCATCAACTCAGCCTCATGCCTCTAGGCAAAAACCATAATTAAGTCATCTTAGACAGGTAATTGTCCATCCCAGTGAGAGTCTATAACATGTTCAGTAATCCTTTTCTATAATGATCCTTCACCAGAAACTTTTTTTACTATGTCTGATTCTACTGTTTTCTTTCAGTTTAATCCCATTTCATTTGACTTTCTGCTACATACAGGAATTTATCCCACTGTGGAAGCTTATGCAATAAATGTCCTTATGTCATTATTTATTTATTGATACCAAGGATTCCACCCAGGGGCATTTAACCACCAAGCCACATCCCCAGCCCTATTTTGTGTTTTATTTAGAGACAGGGTTTCACTGAGTTTCTTAGGGCCTCGCTAAATTGCCGAGACTGGCTTTGAACTCACAATCCTCCTGCCTCAGCCTCCWGAGCCACCAGAATTATGGCATACATCACCACACCCTGCTCATCATTTCCTTTTACCATCACCCCAATGAGAAAAACATTACTTTTTTTTTTTTTAAGTGGATGGATTGCACAATTCCTAAGATACTGCAATACCATATACCATGTTGATGTGTGGTGTGGAGTGGATGGAGCAAGCCCTTATTCCATCTCTCTGCTCTAAAAATCCACTTAATATATTGTCCTCAGATGGAGGATGTATCAGATGTTAAATTGATTAAGAGAGAGTATACATGATCTTAGCCAAAAGGCTGAGAAGCTATTGGCCAAACTATATTGTTATATTGTGTGCATATATGAATATGTAACAACAAATACCATCATTATGTTCAACTATATTGCACAAGTTTAAAAATGTGAAAAAAAATTAAAGAGAATATTTTTAACATTTTGCCATTTAAAATAAAGTTTGCTATAAATAAACCAAAAAGATTTAGAAGCTATCATTGACATGATTTAGTAACCCTAATGATTATTTTCCTTATATCCACTACATCATCAGCTTCCAAATGTTTTTATTATTTATTTATGTTACTGGGATTGAGCCTAGGGGTGCTTTACCACTGAGCCACATCCCCAGCCCTTTTTATTTTTTAAAGTTGCTGAGAACCTTGCTAAATTGCTAAGACTGGCCTTGAAGTTGCAATCCTCTTTCCTCAGCTTCCCCAGTCATTGAGATTACATGGTGGCCACTAACTACCAGCCCAAATGTTTTTAAATAAACTTGATTGAGATATAACTTACATATAATAAAATGCATATATTTTAAGTATACTGTTCAATGAGTTTCAATAAATGTTTGTATCAGCTGGGCACTGTGGCACATGCCTGTAATCCCAATGACTTGGGAAGCTAAGCCAGGAGGATTGCCAAAAACATTACTTTATATTCATCATAAATGTTATTTGCACATATTAACTATGTTTTTTTCTATTTTATCAGAGTATAATGATTGTCTATTACATCACTCATTTAATTGATATGTGTAAATGGTGCAAAATTTTGACAAAACAAAAACATGGCCTTCATGCATTTATATGTAATTTCTGACCATATTAGATGATAGTAATTTGAGTTCATACAAATGACATACATTGAGTAAATTATTAAGAATGTTGAAATGTACATAGATCAGAGAAAATCATCACCCACTGTTGTCTGCGTGATGCATAGTGACCTTTCATTTTACTGATGTTGAATGGTAGCTGGAGTCTGGCACAATATTTAGGATTGAGGGTAGAAACCTGCACAAACATTCCTGTCACCATGCTGCATCTCCCATTCATAAAATACTCCTTAAGTGGGGGTAATGTAGTCTCTTATCTGTCTGGACAGCATGCTGCTCTGCAGTCTCTCTCCCTTCCAGACTGAGCCATTTGTAGTTCCAGATTACCTGACTTGTATGTGCAAGCAGGGATGAGTTCTTATCAACGCAGGTTAGTTTGAAAGATGGGGAAATATCCAAGATACCAGGTATATGGGCAATGGGGGATGTCAAGAAACAAGACTCAAAGGGACATACAGTGAAGGGCCTTGTCTACCACACCAGAAAGTTTGGATTTTATCCTTAAGACAAATTAATTGAAATATTATGTAGGGAAATTGGAGACACACTATACAGATTTAGATTTTAGAATGTGTTCCACAGGACAGCAGTGGAATTGGAGGGATGAGGAAGCAGGAGTAGGAAGAATGACAAACGTTCCTTCTGAGGCAACGCTGCAGGAATGAAGTGAAAGGGGCAGAACTGAGTTTTGTTTTGTTTTTAATGGTGCTGGGGATTGAATGCAGGGCCTAGTACATGCTTGGGTAGTTGATTGAATATGGAAGGAGAATAAATAATAAGGATGACACCCCATTTTGTTTATTTTTATTTTTTAATATTTATTTTTTAGTTGTAGTTAGACACAATACCTTTATTTTATTTATTTATGTTTTTGAGGTGCTGAGGATTAAACCCAGGTCCTTGTGCGTGCTAGGTGAGTGCTCCACCGCTGAGCCACAACCCCAGCTCAACGCCCCATTTTAGATTTACACCTTGACACTATGTGGTGATGCCTGGGGTTGCAATGCAATGCTGCCTTGTTAAGTTATTCCATTTAGGGTTTCCTCATTGAATCAGACATGATTCTGATTGATAGAAACCATCTCTAGCTATATAAGTTTAAAAAAGTAATTATGGAAAGTGTGGTAAGAGAGCTTATTATTATTTAATTTCTATATATTTTTTTCCTTTTTACCCAGTAGTACAGCACTTGGGACATGATCTGTGAGAATAAAGACCACATTTCTCAGCTTCCCTTGCAGCTAGGTCCGAGCATGTGTCTAATTTCTGATTAATGGAATGTAAGTGGAAGTAGTGCGTGCAAGTTCCTGGACTTATCCTTAAAGGACAGAAGCATACACTTCTTCCTTTTATCCCCTCACATGTATGACAGCTTGGTCTATATTTTAAAGGTGGCAAAACAGAAATCTAGGAAGCCCTCTGGGTTCCAAATGACTAAGAGCCACTATAGCATCATAAAAGCCTCTAACCAAACTATTATGTGAAAGAGACATACACTTGTACTTTGTTTAAATTCCCTTTATTTTTGGTTTCTGTTACATGAAATTGCATCCATATCTCCATATGTGAGTAGGCATTAGGGACTTACCAAAATGAAAGATGGCTTGAGAGCTTGGAAAAAATTAGATTCAGGTAGCCATGGAGGTGAAATACCAGAGACAGCGTAGTCTCAGCACCATGTTATTGCTGCTGAGAGCAATCCAATCCCAGATTTCCCCAGTCTTTGGGTCACTCATTCAAAATGCAAAATCCTGGTATTTTATTGCCCAAGTCAGGACACGTGTCTATTCAGCAGAGGTACCAAAGGGCAGCTAGACGACTTTGTGGTTCTGTGGGTATCTGCTTGGGGACGTGTGTGCTGGGGGGCCTACACAGCAAGGGGAAAGAAAGAATAGTAGGATGCTGGACAGCCAAAAAAACCCAACAGATGTCCATTACATTCAACTTTCCCTTATTTCTACTGAATCAAGGCAAATTAAGAGAAGCCATTGTGAGTTACTTTTGCATTTTACTTAAAACTTCTATTTTAGTGAATCCATTTTGCCATAAAGCATTGCAATTTTCTTTCACAATATCCTTACTTTAAATGGCACACATTTATCATTTCTTTTTCTAAATTCTGTTGTAAGCAAAGATATTCATAAGCTGCTTATAGTACTCATATGCTGTACCCTCCTTTTTGGCAACAGCATCATGAAAAATAATGGCAACATTGTATAAAAGCTACAATCAAAATTCTTTCTTTGGATCTTGAAAATACTTCTTAAGGATAGCAAGAGTATTTTCTATGTATAAAAAGAAACTCTTAGCAACTAAAAAGTTATTAGTATTCTTTCAAAAGCCAGTATCAGTCCTGGCAATCTTGTATTTTAACGTGACATTTTTATTGCATTTCAGGGAAAAAGAATCACAAAGAATTCAACTTCTTAATTTATTTGAAAGATAAAAAGTTGAACTATTTCCTGTCATCAGGATGGGACTAAGATGCTATCGTTAAAAATGAACGTACATTTTTAAAAATGAGGTCAATCTCATTGTTCTATTGCAATTATCTGACAATTTGGGGAAAATGATTATTAATACTTATTTTTTAAATGCCTTCCAAATTAGCAATATTAGTTGAGATGCCAATAATTTATAAATAAGCCTTATCCTTGCTCAAAATATGTGAAGAAACTATTCACAGTCACACCAAGTAAAAGATCGTGTGTGTGTGTGTGTGTGTCTGTATGTGTGTGTCTGTATGTGTATGTCTATATGTGTGTGTCTCTGTGTGTGTGCACCCTACTACTAAGCTACACTCCCAGCTCCCAAACACCTAGTTTTGTAACTCCAGGATTTTCATGAAATACTTCACAGAGATAGGAACAAGATTTCCCATTCTTTTCTCCTTTTCTGTCCTTTCATTCCTCCCTCCTGCTCATTGCTCATCCAATTCTGACTAAATAGTTAAACACGAAGTTTTGCACTTTTTTTTTTTTTTTTTTTTTTTTTTTAGAGACAGGTCTTACTAGGTCTCACTATGATGCCCAGGCTGATCTCAAACCTCTTGACTCAAGAGCTCCTATCACCTCAGCCTTCCAAATCTCTGGTGCGATCACTGTGGCCATGACATCTTTGCACTATTTCTAATGAAAATTCATGTGACTTGTTGGAAGAAGTTTTTGGTAATCATTTACTATGCATATGAAAAATGTAAAGAATGTGGATTAATCCTTTTATTACTCTTTGAAGAGCTAACATTTGTTTGTGTTTTATGTTCTATTATGCAGTTATAGCAGCTTTGACCACTGGTTCCATTTAAACAGAATCACTTTTTAGACAGGCTTTTCACAATGAAGAACAAGAAGCTGCAAAGTTGGTAACATACTTATTTTAAAAATTGACTACATGAAGTATTGTCAGATTATTCACCACAAGCAACATTTATTTCACTTGTAACAAAAATTGTACCAAATATTGTATCAAAACATGGAACTAGAATTTGAAGAGGTAATGCATGCATATGATAAAAAATTAAAACAAAATGGTATACAATAAAAGTCTCCATGCTTCAGCTCTATCACCCAGTCAGATAATTCCCCTTCCTCAAAACACTATTCCCAGTTTTATGTGTATCACTGTGGATATTATCTGTGCATATACCAAGACATTAAAAATATTCTTTTTTTCTACAAATATACATTACTAAATACACATTCTTTTACTTATCCCTTTTTTCCCTATATACCTAGGAAGTGATTATATTAGTTGTAAATTAAAGATGGCTGCAAAAATCCTGGTCATTCTCCTCATAGAGTTCATTTCTCCTCCTCCTGAATCTGTGTGGCCCTGTGACTCTTTACACAATCAAATGTAGCAAAGTAACACTGTGCCAGCTTTAAAAGGACTGGCAGCTTCTGTTCCCAATCTCTTAGAATTTCTCTTGGAATGCACATTCTGAGAGAATCTAGTCACCTCTAGTCACCCGTGTCAGAATTCCTCCACATTACGAGGAGGCCTCATAGAGGTTGCCTGGAGAGAGACAGAGATTGATTCTTGCTAGTTCTCAGCTGTTCCATGTGTTCCAACCAACACACAAGACAACCTGAGTGAAGAAGCCCTCTTGGACATGCATCCCAAGAGAGCCTTCCAATGACTCCTATCACAGCCACCATCATATGGCAGAAAGATTCCAGAAGAGAATTGCCCAGCCTA